AAATATTTGATTGCTTTAGGCTCTACTTTGCAGAAGCTGCAGAAGGTCATCGAGCTATCCAGACCCATAGGACTGGACACCCCTGCTCACCCATTCCAGCCAGGAGACTGGGTCTACGTCAAGTGGTGGAACAGTGGCCCCTTGAGAGCCAGGTGGAGAGGACCATACCAAGTCCTGCTGACTTCCCTCACCTCCGTCAAAGTTGCTGGCAGAGAACCCTGGTTCCACTATTCCAGAGTCAAGAGAGCATCAGCTCCTGGAACAACCAACCAGACAGAACCAGGCACCGACGACGAGGATGTGGAATAGACTGCTTGTTCTGTGCATTCTGTTCGTGCAACCGGTAACTATGAACCGAGTTTGGGACCAAAAATTGCATGTGGCCCTAGTCCAAAATGTATCTAAAATTCTCCGAAAACCGGAATGCTGGATTTGTACTCAAGTACCAGCAATTGATGATGAGAATAGTGAGTGGCCCCTAATTGGAATTTTACTAAATGAGACAAACTTCAGAAAGTCCATGATGAATTTCCCAGGGACCTGGAAGCCAGTTACAGAGGCCTATTATCTGGTGGCCCTAAGTAATGTAATTTCTAATCAGGATGTTGTTCCCTGTATGATCATAAACGCTACAGGAAAAATCATTCTCCCCCCCTACTGTGATAAAAACAATTCAAAAGAAGAGATAAACCCAGAAATTGTTGTAGGGATGGCACAGTTCCCTTTGAGATTAATTCCTCCCCAGGGTTCAGGATGGTATTGGATTTGTGAAAAGGAGGCCTGGAAAGTTTTGCCCCTTGATAAGGATCGGGCCTGTGCCCTGGGGGCAGTGATTCCAAATATAACAATTCTCGATCCAATTGATGAACAGGAATGGGAAAAATCCTATCCCAAAAGAGTGAAAAGAACTAGCAATCCCCTCATTGAGCGCCCTACGATTTTCCACAGCATAGTCAGAGGTTTAGTCCTACCTCTAGGAGTGAGTGAATTGGAAAAGGCAATTGTAAATATTTCGGCTGTTATGGAAAACATACAAGATCACACTCTGGATGCAATTGAAACCCTGAAAGAACAATTCCAGAGCTTGTCTCGTGTAGTAATACAAAACAGAATGGCCCTCAATTTTTTGCTAGCCTCACAGGGAGGCGTGTGTAAAGTCATCAATACCAGCTGCTGTTCTTACATAGATCAGACTGGTAGAATTAATAATGATTTGGCCGCAATTCGAAATCAAACCAAAATTTTTCATCAGATATCTCTGGATGATGTCTCCCTAGGTTTAGGAGATGTCTTCAACAAACTCACCTCATGGTTACCGAACTGGACATGGATGAAACAACTGTTTAT